AGCAGAGCTGAGCCCGGGAAGAAGGGAGGGGTGGGGAGAAGGTGCTCTCAAGATGGAGCAATGCTTCTCACTATTCTGCTCTGTCTCTTAAGTGTTGTTGTTAGTGTCTGTTTTAAATTTATGTTCTTTTTTTCTTCCCCTAATGAGTCTGCCTTCTGCCCATGACCGTAATGGGAGACTCAACCCTCCCTGTCCTTATCTCAGTTCCTAAATCTTTTTGGTTTAATTTTCTCCTTCCCAGAGCTAGAGGGGACGAGGGGACTGAGTGGCTGTGTGGTGCTTGGTTGCCCTCTGAGCTCAAACCAGGACAACCACACAGTGGCTTTGTCAGTGGGAAGCCCGAAACTGGGAGATGAATAGATGGCCAATCTGGAGAACTGAAGACTGGTGATTACGATTAGACGTAGCCAGAAAAACACCCTTGCAAATGGGATGGGTGAGAGCTCATGCATATGACGTTAAACCAGCCACAAACTGGAACAAAAAAGTGGACGGATTGACAAAAATTAGGAAAATAGACATCAAAAATTCTTTAGAACCCACATGGAATCTACTGGGAGAGTGGTTACATCAAAAAAGAAAAGAGCTCAGGCCTGCTGCTTTTGCCTGTATATATCTGGGATTTTCACAGGTCTACTTTTCCATTGTGCTTTGATCTTTCCCACAGCAGGGCAGGAATCTCAAGGATGTTCAATAAGGTGCCTCTGTGTTTCTCACAGGCCTCTGTTATCTAAGCACAGACATTCTACCTGTCAAGCACACAGAGGTAAACCACAATTAGTGTGATATATGTGTTTTTTGGCACCTCAGCTGCAAGTCACTTGAGCATATTTACAATCCTCCTCGGCAATTTTCCATTCTATTCCCACAACAGGGCAACCTAATAAAAGCCAACAGCTACCTGCAGAGATGGTGGAGCCAAGCTCTCTTCTGCAGTGGCCAATGATATGACAGGGGCACCAGTCACAAACTACCTTTGGGGAGCTCTAGGCTGAGCCTTAGGAAAAATAGAATGGACTAGGAGGAGCATTGCTGTGATCTCCACCTTTGGAGCGCTTCGGGTTTCAGCTCTACAAAGTTGCAAGCCAGCCTGGAGGCTGGACTAGAGACCCCTAGAAGTCTCTTCCCCACCAATCCTTCCATGAGCCTGTGCCTTGCAACACGCCCTACAAGAAGAGACTAAGATGGAGGTGAGGGCCTCTATGTCATAGGACAATTCAGGGTAAAAGGGAGCTCAGGAAGCCTCGAGTCCAATGCCCAGCTCAAATCAGGGCCAGCTCTGAGGTCAGACCAGGTAGCTCGGTAAATGTCAACATTCACATAGAGAGTTTACACATGAGCCAGGCATCTAAGCCACCATTACAGAATTGAAGATGAGACATTTGACCAGCTCCCTGAACACAGCTATCAGTATGCCATCCTCCTGAGATTCCTGGGAACATCCACCTTCTTGTGCAGAAGATTCTTCTGTAAGATTCCTGGCACATCTCCAGACAGGGGGTACTCTAGGCTGTAAAAAAGAAAGAAAGTCTGACTTGGGTACTGTCAACTTAATTACTAAAAGAGAGGGAGATGGAGGGATCTCAGAGCTTCCATGTTGCTGCTGAAGATTTAAGCCTCTGAGAAAGAGCTCAGAATGAAAGTTTTGAGCTAAAATAGCTTTTTGATCATTTCACTTGTGAAGGCTCTGCTCCCCACATCCAGTCACTGGTACCCAGAAACCTGCCCTGCTTTTCCTTCTTCTCCTCCCCAAACCTGACCAAGTGATGAGAAGAAAGGAAGCAGAAAGGCCCTAGGCCTCTGTGAATCAGTGGGGGTCTGGCACTTGGAGGCCACAGTGTCATTTCATTGTACACCCCGTAAAGAACTAAGCTGGGAAGTGAGACTGAAAGCCCAAATCCACAGGGTTCATTGACAGGCAAGGCTGTGTCCATGGCTGGTCTGGAAACCAGTACACCTACTGCATAGATCAAGCTGGTGTTGAAACTCTGGCTTGGGCTTCAATGGTCTCCTGGGCCCAGGGACAGAGGTGTGGGCCCAGACGCGAGGTTGGGCTGGCCAGGGCCGATGGAGGCCTATGGATGCTCTCAGTGCCCTGACACTGCGCCCACGGGATCCCCCCTGGCAGTGCCCTCGAGAGGCCAAGTTCTCCTTCCCTGAAGTCCAGGGCCTGTGCTCTGCTCCTCTCCTTCCCCACGTCCCTGGGGATCTGGGAGACCAGGATTTCATGGTCACGTCCCTGACAATGGTATTCACATCCCTGACCAGCTCTTTTGGGAATACCAGGTCCAGGTGAGCAGACTGAAAGGACTATTTGCCATCTGTGCTAAGAATATTTCCACAAACTCCACAAGAAACGTCCTGGGTGGTTTGCATGCTGCTGTACCCACATGAGCAGTGAATACCAAGGAAACTGTGTCCTCCAGAAGAGCCAGGTTGTGTGATCCACTGATTTCCTGCGACCATTCAATTAAGACATTGTTGACTCCTCACCCTGGCTGTATGACCTGTAAACGGCTGGGATAGAGTTGGATTTTCTTCATAGCAGCCCATAGGGTGATGTGCTTTGGATTTGTTACTAAATCAGCACTGATAACACATCAGAGTTTTGGCTGTTGCTGAACAGTCCCTTGCAGAACATGAAGGCTTTCTCTTTTTCCCACTCTGCCCCTGCAGCAAGGAGGCTGGGGGTACACAAGAAGTTGGCAGGGGCACAGCTGGGACAGCTGACCCCAAAGGACCAAAGAGATTTTCCATTCCATATGATGTGAGGCTCAGAAAAAAAAAAAAAAAAAAACAAAACAAAAAAAAAAAACAAACTAAACAAAACAAACAAAAACCACCAACAAATAATAAAAAACAACAAAACCAAAACAAACCAAAAACCCAAACAAAAAAAAACAAAAAAAAAACAAAAAAAAAAAACCCAAACTCAATGAAAGAGGAAAAAGTGGAGATTTTTGTAGTCGTGGCATTTGTCTTCCCAAGCCGTACTTTCCTAGCAATGACTAAAGATCTGTTGCTGATGGGACTGTTGTGCATGAACTCCCCATTTTGCTTTGCTTGCACACGCAGATATTGCTTCACCTATTAAACTCTCTTTGTCTTGACCCATGAGTTTCCTGCTTTTGCACTTCCAATTCCCTCCCCTGTCCTGCTGGGGTCGTGGGGGGCAGAGGACAGTGAGCAAATGACTCTGTGGGTGCTTAGCTGCTGCTGGGGGTAAACCAAACTGAACACCTACCACAGTGTCATCGTTTCTGGTTTCTCCTTTGACCCACACACATCTCGATCCATGAGCTTTCCCTCTTGTCCTGTTGAGTGGGCTGAGTGAGTGAGCAGCTGGGTGGCTGTCTGGCTGCTGGTCAAAGTTAACCCACCACAGGACCACATCAGGACTGCTGTGTCCAGTACGGGGTTCCCCAGCACAAGAAAGATCCTGACAGACTGGAGCGAGTCCTGCGGAGGCCAGAAGGATGGTTGGGGCCTGGAGCACATTATGGACAAGGAGTGGCTGAGAGAGCTGGGGTTCTGAGAAATCCCTCAGAGCCAAACTCTGCAGCAAGGACCCATGGCCAGTTGGTGGGATCTCACTCAATGGATATTTTCAGTATTTGTCAAGACAAGCCCATGAGCACCTGATCTAGCTGGAGCTGTCTGAGACGGGGCTTGGCTGAGAGACTGGCTGTGGCAAGAGCTACTGGGACTTGGTGCGTCATGAGTGTCAGTAGGAAACTGGTTTATTTTTTATTAGTAATGGTGGTAGAGTTGGGTATCACTGGTGTTTCCTCTTCCAGGACTTTTCCAGCCCAGCCCAGCCCCAGCCCAGCTCTCCCCACCTGCCCTGGCCCCAGGGCAGTGCCCACCACAGGGTGCTGCAGCACTCTGGGCACTCAACCACAGCTCCAGCTCCTCGGAAGGGCACAGCAGCTCCTGGAGGTCAGACAGGGGGATCATCCTTCCCACAAGCACCAGGGCTGATGCTGGCCAAAAGGGCAGGAGGAAACAGAGGCCAGTCAGTCTCTAGCTCTGCTGCATTCATCTGGTAGGTTGTCCCTAACCTCGACTGCATTTACACCCTTCCCTTCCCCCACCAGCCCTGCTCCCAGCACAGCACAAGAGTCCTGGCCCTGGGCCTCCTCAGGCAGCTCCTGCACCTCTCCAGTCTCCCTTTCCCATGCCCACTGGGTTCACACTGACCCCCAGGGCACTGCAGAGTCCTTGCTTGCATATACCTTGATTTAGTGCTTTGCTTTTGGGGGACAGTCAACTTCAAGGGTGTTTCACTTTGTGTGTGTCCATTCATTCCCACCCCAGGGCATGTGGTGACCCCTACTCCTCTCCTGACCAAATTATTTTCCATAAAGACAGCTATATGCCATGAGTCCTGGCATATATGAAGCAGCCTGAGGAGGTAGTGGGGAGCTCATGCACCATCTTACACCAAGAAGAGAGCCTTTAAAAGCAGAACTTTTGTCCAGTGGAACCCAATGGTACTGTGAGCTTAACTCCAAATACAGGGAGAACATAAGGAGAAAAGAATTTTAAAAGACCAATTCCTTAGACATTTTATTGGCAGCCACTTTGGAGGAAGAACCCAGCCTTCAGGCACTGCACCCAGGAGATCCCATTTTATTCAAGAGCTGCTATTGGACACGTCACACCTGACACAGTGTGGTGCAAGAGTAAGACACAACAGGAAAAATCCTCAAGAGAGGTAGTATAAGTCCAGAAAATTATCTATATGTAGGATTATTACAGGGAAAATAGCAGACTCCTGGCCTAAGATAAACTCTGGGAAATGTGAAGTGACTTGAGACAGGTTGTTGTCAGTGAAACTACATCCCTTGGGTCAGTTTCCATAGGGCATCCTTGAGCTGCTGGTTCCTCAGTGCTGTAGGTGAGGGGGTTCACTGCAGGAGGCACCACCGAGTACAGAACGGACAGCATCAGGTCCAGGGTTGGGGAGGAGAAGGAGGGGAGGCTTGAGGGAGGCAAACATGGCAGTGCTGAGAACCAGGGAGATTATGGCCAGGTGAGGGAGGGATGTGGAGAAGGCTTTGTGCCGTCCCTGCTCAGAGGGGATCCTCAGCACGGCCCTCAAGCTTTGTGCCTAGCACAGTGCAATGAAAACAAGGCAGCCAAATGCAACAAAGACATTAACCACAATAAGCTGAACTTCCCTGAGGTAGGAGTCTGAGCAGGCAAGCTTGAGGATTTGGGGGATTTCCCAGAAGAACTGGTCAAAAGCATTGCCTCGGTGGAGCGGTATTGACAATGTATTGGCTGTGTACAGCACAGCATAGAGAAACCCACCGCCCCAGGCAGCTGCTGCCATGTGGACACAAGCTCTGCTGCCCAGGAGGGTCCCGTAGTGCAGGGGTTGGCAGATGGCACGTAGCGGTCGCAGGCCATGACGGTGAGGAGAGAATACTCAGCTGACATAAAAAAGAAAAAGAGCTGAGCCACACACCCTTGGCAGGAGATGACCCTGGTGTCCTGCAGGGAATTGACCACGGATTTGGGAACAGTGGTGGAGATGGAGCCCAGGTCAAGGACTGAAAGTTTGAGAAGGAAGTGAGAGAAGGCCTAAAACTATTTCTCTTGTTTAGAGCAAAGAAGTTGTTTATGGTAGAATCCTAGTTGGTCAGCATGTTCTACTCATATTATTTTCTTCCTTTCACTCACATAGTTTAGTCAACTGCTAGGCAGAATTAATATCAAGATGTTTTGAAATATGCAACTTCTCCCTCAGAAAATGTAAGTAGGCCTTGAGATGGTTCCTTAAGTTTCCTGAGTACCCCTGATAACAAGGGCCTAAGACGCCACTGTCAAGATAATCACCTGGGAATTAGTTTAAACTGACCTCTTGGAGCATCCCAGGGCCAAAGAATGGATGAGCTAACTGCATGACCATATGTGGGCAAAGGAATCCCAAAGTTCAATCACCGGACACTGTGAGGAAGACTATGAGTGACCACCAGAGGGGGAAAAGACCCTAACCCTAATTTTATCACACATGCTTCGGACTATGTAGATAAATTCTAGGAAATCTTATGTAGATGTAGATTAGTTCTCAGAAATCCACTGAATATGTACAAGCTCACAGCACATATTCTCTGTGATTGTACCTGTCTGTGGGAGCACTCGTGGTGGAGCGATCCCCAGTGCTGCCCAGCGCTGCTAATAAAGAATACCTGCTCAGCAGTTCTACTGGATTCTAAGTGTTGAGTGAATTTCTGTGTCAGAAGGAGCAGCCCCTGCGGCCCTGGCTGGAGCAGTCGGGGTGGGGGTGGCTCGGGGGCACCGCGGGGATGTGCCCGGGCTCAGCTCCAGGAGGAAACCACAGACTTCCTGCCCGGGCTGCTTGTGGGGGGAGCGCGAGGAGCGCTGCGAGGCCACGTGGGCTGTGGTTTGTGCACCTGCAGGCTGCAGCTCCCGAGCCCCCCGTGGGGAATAACGGCCCCTCGGTGACATGCTGAGAGTCAGGGATCCATCTGAGCTGCTTGTCTGCTGCCAGGACAGGGACATGGCCCAGCCCCAGCTCGTTTGAAGGGACCTTCCATGGGGCTCTCCAGGGAGGGACGGGTGAGCCAGCGCTCCTGGGATGGGGCTCTGGCCTGGGCTGAGGCCCTTTCCCCGCTGCTGCTCCCAGCACAGAGGGGTCTGAAGCAGGGGCAGGGGCTCTTTCCTTCCCCCCCTGACACAGCCCCCGGTGTCCGTCCCAGCCCCGTGGTTCCCGTGGCATGGGGATGGCTGGGCACTCGCACCTTGGGCTCTTGGATGTGCCGGGTATAGGAGATGCTCAGTGCTCCTGGCCCACACAGCAGGGTTCAAGGCATGAAAAACCCATTTCCCCCACTACAGCCAGCCCTGTCCTGTGACGCCGCACCACCACAGTGATGTGACACCTGCAGCAGAGCCATCCCTCATATATGGTCATGAATGGCACTGGAGACGTTCATTGGAGGGCTGGGCTGTGTCGGAGGGGAGATAACTCCCGATAATGTCTAAAAATGGTGCTGCTGCTTTGATTGGCTCCTCCCGTAGCTGGCCTGGCATCTGCAGAGCTATATTGCCCTCCCAGTCATCATTGTCCCCGTGAGTCCCCAGGAGCTGTGACAGGAGTGTGGCGCGGCAGGGATGTGCTGGCAGGGCAGGAGGCTCAGGATGGGCACAGAGGGACTGCTGTCCCCTCAGGTGCTGGGGCTGCTCCTCTGGGTACAGCTGTGCAGGGGTAAGTGCCGGCTCCCTTGTCCCACAGCCCAGGAATAGCGGGTACCAGCGTGGTCATCGGGATCTGTCTGGGAATGGGGATTCTTTGCAGGTGCTACAGAGATGATGGACACAACGTGCTCAAGTCCGTGGACCCTGTGCCCTTCCCTGGGCCCATCTGGGTGGGAGACAGTATCTCCTTTTGCAGGGTTCCAGTGTCTAGGGCAGCCTGTGCCTGGCTGGATTCACAGACACCCTGTCCTGGGGTACCTTTTGGGACCCCCTGTCCCCTCGCACTGTGCCTCTGGAGCCGGTGGTGGCCTCGCTGGTGATGGCAGCACCCAGAGATCCTCCCTGGGACACTGCTAATGTCTCGGGTGTCCCGAAGGGATTTTGTGCTGTTCACTGCCCCCTTGTTCCAGGGGAGCCCTGACCCCATGAAGACAGTTTGTACCCCACGGAGAGATGGGGACCAGGGCATCTACAGCAGAGAGACACCCTTCCTGGGGGACCCGGCCCAGTGCAGGGACTGGGCTGACACCAGGGATGAGAAGGGGATGTGGGTGGGGGGATCCTCTGGATCGTCTCAGTGGGAACACGGAAAGCCCTGGGCATGGGGGTGGGTTTGGCTGGCTGCTGGGGCAGGCAGTTGCATGGGAAGCTGCAGGCCTGGGTACACGGGGCTGTTCAGGGGGTGCTGGGGAGGAGCAGGTGTCCAGTGCAGGGCTGGGCAGTGTGCGGGTGGGCATGGGCAGGAGGCAGGTGGTCACTGGGGTGGGAAAAGGTGCCTTGTGTGGTGGGATGGCGAAATGACCCAGCAGGGCTGGAGCTGGGCACCCCCAGCCTTGCACAGCCCATGAGGATAGAAGGGACCCCTGAACTGTCCTGGGGACAGCCTGGAGGGGAGTGGGCTCCCACCCTGGTGCCTCTGACTCTACCTTGGCAGGGGGCTCCCCCAGACCCACAGTCTGGGGCTTAGCGCTGTCCCTGACCCATACCATCTTGGTGTTTGAAGGTGCTGTGGAGGTGAGGCTGGCAGGACGGTGGCAGGCGCTGTGCTGGGAGAGTGGAGGTGAAACATCAGGGCAAGTGGGGGACCGTGTGTGGTGACTACTGGAGCATGAAGAATGCGGCAGTGGTTTGTAAACAGCTGGACTGTGGGTCTGCTGTTGGAGCTCCTCAGTACGGACACTTTGGGCCAGGATCTGGCCCCATTTGGATGGATGATGTTGGCTGTAATGGCACCGAATCTGCCCTGTCTGACTGCACACGCAGAGGATGGGGTGAACATAACTGTGGTCATCTCCTTGATGCTGGAGTGGTGTGTTCAGGTAAGGGGACAACCTATTCCATACCTCTGGGGCTGGGATAGTGGAAAGGATCTGGCTGTGCCCTCAGGGAGCAACGCGGACACTGGAGCACTGCTCAATGTGGCCAGTCACACTGCCGAGCTGGGACTGTCATTGCTGGTGACCCCAGTCCTGGGGAAAGCCCAGAGTGAGCCTACCCCAGGGTGAACTAACCCTGCCACAGTGTCTCAGCCCCTCTTCAGCCAGTGTCTTAGGCTGAAATGAACACTCTGTCCCTGCCCCAGTGTGTCCACTGGTATCCACTGGTCTCCACCCAGTCTGCCCATTCCCAGCCAACAGTGCTGAGGGCCCTGTGCTGGAGAAACCAGGGCGGGACTTTCTCAGAACATCACACCTTGGAGGAATGGCATGAGGTGGCTGGTCCCCGTGGTTCATTCCCCCTCACAGGCATGAGTACCTCAGCTGAATCAGACCGGCTTTTCAGGGAGCACGAGTGCTGTCCCTGGGCAGAGGAGCAGGGTGGCACACAGCCCTTGGCCGCCTGTCCCCAGGGCTGCGCTTTGTGATCCAGCACTGCGAGGCCTTGGAGCTCGGCAGCTGCTGGACTTTGGCTGCTCCCGACTGCATCACCCATGCACAGCTGGCACTCTTACATCCCTGGGACTGTGACAGCCCAGCAGGGACACGGCCCCATGCAGGCAGCACTGATATGCTGCCTAGCCCCTCCTGCCTGCCCACAGCAACCCACACTGCCCCACGAAACAGGGGCTTGGGCAGCACTTACTGACTCTCAGCTGTGCCTGCTGTCACCTCCAGAGCCAGCGTGAGCCCAGGGCCACATGTGGGTCTCCTGCCCCTTTGCCTGACCGTTAGCTTGGGACCTCTGCACCCTGGTCAGAGCACTGTGTCCCTGGCTGAGGAGACCCGCTCCCAGCAGGCATAGGAGGGGTCTGGACAGGCACCAGCCATGGTAACAGCTGCACTGTTTCTGAGCTCTGTGACATCTCCCTGCTAACAGGGTCCTC